CATAAGAAAGAAACATCATGGGCTTTGCAGCGGCCACCGCCCCGGAGCCGCCTGTGACCAGCCACGGTGAACCCCACCGTGCTCTTTGACATCCCCGTTGACGGCCAGCCCTCGGGCTGCGTCTCCTCCGAGCTGTTTGCAGACGAAGTTCCAAAGACAGCAGAAAACTTCCGTGCTCGGAGCACTGGGGAGAAAGGCTTTGGTTACGAAGTTTCCTGCTTTCACAGAATTATTCCGGTATTTATGTGCCAGGGTGGTCGCTTCACACACCACAATGGCACAGGCAGCGAGTCTATCTATGGGGAGAAATTTGAGGATGAGAACTTCATCCTGAAACATACAGGTCCTGGCGCCTGTCCACGGCCAATGCTGGAGCGAACACAAACGGTGCCCAGTTTCTCATCGGCGCTGCCAAGCCCGAGTGGGTGGGTGGCAAGCATGTGGTCTTCGCCAGGTGACCGAAGGCCTGGACATTGTGACAGCCATGGAGCGCTCTGGGTCCAGGAATGGCAAGACCAGCAAGAAGACCACCATTGCTGACTGTGACAACTCTAATAAATTTGGCTTGTGTTTTATCTTAACCACCAGGCCATTCATTCGGTAGCTCAGGAGAGCACCCCTTCACCCCGATTTGCTGGGAATGTTCTATAATCTCTGTGCTCTTGCCACAGTTCATTGGGTTCCATCATTTCCTTACCCCCTTCCCAGTCTAGCTGGATTGCAGAGTTAAGTTTATGATTATGAAATAAAAACTAAGCAGTTGTTTGTCAAAAAAAAAAAAAAAGAAAAAGAAAAAGAAAGGAAGGAAGGAAGGAAGAAACAGCATTGACTGACTGCCTCCTGTACGCCCCCTACTGGGGATCACAACTGGAGCATGTGCCCTGACCAGGCATCTAACTGGTGACCTCTTGGTTCATGGGTCGACGCTCAACCACTGAACCACAGAGGCCGGACAGATGTTGCATTTTTAAAAAATTAAAGGCAAGACCCTGTACCAGCAAAAGATTATGACTCACTTCATTGCAATACTCGTTTAATTGGGGTGGTCTGGATCGGAACCTGCAATATGTCCGAGGCCTGCCTGTCGATCTCACAGTTCTGCTTCTCACACACCTGTGCCTGTCTCACGTTCTGCCTTTAGACATGTGGAAGTCCAGAACGTTCTCAGCTGCTGTCTACTTTTCAGCCAGGAAAGGGCTGATGGTCAAGGTGACTGACAGGTGGAGAGGACACCTGGGTTATAAATGCAGCGAGAGGACCAGTGAGGTGTGAGGTGCCTCATCAGAGCTGCCCAAGTCCATTAGAATATTCCTGGTGTCGAATCAGTTGTACGGGCAGGAGCAGTAAGTGGTGCCTCAGCAGAAATACCTGCGTTTCTTATTTATGAGGCTGTCAGAGGGGAGAGATTCTAATAAAAGGCTTCCCCGGTGATTCAAGGTCTCCTGCAGCCCAGATGGCGTGCAGTCTCCCCGGGCCTTTCTCCCCAGGGCCACCTGGACGCCTTCTATTTGCTTTGATTCAGCTCCTATTGCGCTTTTTCCTCTGATGCTGGCCCGTTCCCACCCAGCTGAGAGCCTCTATTTCTGGGACTTTTTGTGGATAATGGAGTGGGCAGAAGCTCCCCACCCACCCCCCTCGGAGCATCCCTTCAGAAAAGGGAGAGTGCTCTGGCGAAGTGAAAAACAGTGGGTGGTTCAGTTCAAAAGGACAAAATATTTCTTGCCCTGGCGCTGGGAGAGGAAAGAAATTGTCTGAGGCACCGAAGAACAGCTAAACTAAGAAGCCGAAAGCTGCAGTCCATAAGGGCAAATTAGGTGACTCAGCTGCGACTCCCCTGGATCCAGTCCTTGTAGCATGAATGCGCTTTAAAAGGGAAAAATGCTTAACCGTGACAAAGAGTGGGCTCCATAAAAATGTGGCTCAATGCTGATTCTACCGACTTCCAAAGGGCAGCCCCCTCCAGGCCGCCGGCACCTGCGGAGATCTCGACGGGCCTCCTAGGCCTGAGCCTGGGTGGGACCGAGTCTAAAATTATCCCTGAGAATGAGTCTGGCAGAGGAGGGCCCAGCGTGCTCATTTCCTGCCTCCATTCTGGCCTCCAAGACCTCGGCTCCCAGGGAGGCCTCTGGGCGGCAGGGGCCGCAGTGCCCAGGACATGGGCCTTGTTGCCCAACAAAGTTAGGTTCAAGTTGGGATGGTTGTGTGGACATCCACCCACAGAGCCTCAGTTTGCTCATCTCTAAACAGGGCTCACAGCATAGAACCTGGTTGGGGGTGGTGGTGAAATGAGCTGGATCGTGGAAAGAACCTGCTTCAATGCCCTGGATATAGCGACTGTTAAATAAAAGGAGGCTTGGAGGCGAAGGGCATGGACTGCAGTCTTAATCCTGGTTTAATCACTACTCACTCCTTGAGCGTGGGTGGAAAGCTTTTTAAATTTTAATGTACATTTTAGCACTTATTATATGCCTGGCTGTTCTTAGCATCACATCCTTACATCAAACTCTATGGAAGGCATAGACAGTGTACCCATTTTACAGAATGGGTAAATGACTCTGGGGCAGAACCAAGGATCTGGTTCTAGAGCCTGTACTTTTACCCTACCTCTCAGGTGCCCTAACTCAGTGCTCCTGCCAGAACTGTCTACAGTGACGGGAATGTTCTGTTCTGAGCCGTCTAACTCCGTAGCCACTAGCCACATGTGGCTTTTGACCAGGTGAGGTGTGGCTTGTGCAACCGAAGAACTGACTTTTATTTAATTGTTAATGACTTTAAATCTTAGTAGCCACCTGTGGCTAGGGGCTACCATATCAGGCCGCACAGAGCTAGCCCCTCTTACTGTTAGTGTGTTACTCTTCAGGGTCAACAGCAGGAATTTATCGATGACCCTAGTTCAGAGCCTGGCATATAGTAGCTGCTAAGTTAGGGGCTGCTCTTCATAGTGTTGCTAAGTAGGGAGATTGTCTTCAGAAGACAATGGTCTGCAGGCTTGCAGCAAGAAAAGGAAGCTTCATTCATGCCTTGGGTGGCCAACGTGTCCCAGCGTGCCCAAGAATTCCCCATTTTAAAACTGGAAGTCCCTCGCCCTAACCGGTTTGGCTCAGTGGATAGAGCGTCGGCCTGTGGACTCAAGGGTCCCAGGTTCGATTCCGGTCAAGGGCATGTACCTCGGTTGCGGGCACATCCCCAGGAGGGGGTGTGCAGGAGGCAGCAGATCGATGTTTCTCTCTCATCGATGTTTCTAACTCTCCCTCTCCCTTCCTCTCTGTTAAAAGTCAATAAAATATATAAAAAAACGAAAAAACTGAAAGTCCCGCAGCCCGGGAACCTCCTCGATCCCAGGCGAACCAGACGTGGCCCCCTCGCCTCAGGTGATGTACAGAGTCCACAGGAAATGGGGGTCCCTCCATAGGCTCCCTAAAAGGAAACTCCCACAGCCTCACAGGCTGCAGCCCAATATTTGCCACAAGCAAGCCATCTGCCCTCTATGAGCCTCAGTTTCCCTTTCAGACAGTTAGGGAGAAGGTTTCTCTGCTTGCAGGTGGCTGCAAGGAGCTCAAGGTACCACCAGGCTGGAGCACAGTAGGTGGGCAGAGAGGGCTGCTCCTGGGGGGAGGAGCGCAGGTAAGCTGTCCTGTTGGGTGAGACAGGCTTCAAGGTGAGGTGGGTGGGGCTTTTCCCTGTAGCTCTTTGTGGGACAGCGTCTTCAGCAGGAGGTGTCAGGGCCGAGGGAGGCCTGGAATACCGGGTGGCCCCGCGGGTAGAACCAGCGCCTCTAAAGTTCAGGTCTCTCGGTAAGAAAGTGTGTGGGTGCGTGGGGTCCTGATGAGTCACCAGCTGTGGTGTTCCCGGAGTTCTATGAGAGCTCGCAGGAATAGCTGAAATAGCCATCTTCAAAGCTGCCTTATCGCTGGGCCCCGACTTTCCCGCGCCGCGTGCGGACCAAGAGGCAGGTCTAGGCTGAGTTTGGAAAGAGCGTCCTGGCCGCCCAGCGTGTCTCGCCCTCTTCCCACCGGCCTTCCTGGCTCCGTGGCCCCCTGATGGGAGCGGCCTGATGGGAGCCCCGCGTGGCATCCCACCCGAATTCTGGAGCCCGCGCAGAGTTCACGACTCCCGTCCCTTTATTTTCCTGTTTATTCAGAGCGTGTGTAAACACATGGGTTGCCTGGTTTCGGCGTCTCTTTGGCCATTTCATTATTGCTGGAGCCTCTGAGCATCACTGGAAACCTTGGGTTTTCTAAATGAATCTAAAAATATACTCTTTAAAAAAAAAAGTCTTGGAGTTGGACAGAGTTGACACAAGGCACGGTTATTTATTTCTTTTCCCTCGTCCCTCCCCCCTTCCCCTCCCCCTCTTCCTCCTCCTCCTCTCACCATCCCCAAATACAAAAAAATATGGGCAGCTGGAGGCCCCGAGGGACAGGGAAAGGCCCCTGGGTCAGTGTCCAGGGGCTCAGGCCACCTGGGGTGTTGGGGTGAGCCCTAGGCCCCTTTGACTGGGAGGTACCCACTTGGAAGCTGGGGGGCTGGGGAGCCCGGGCAGGACTTATTAAAAGTGCAGTGGGCGAGGCGAGGCGGCGG